CATTAAATGAATGTTCCCTTAAGTAGAAGAAAGAGTTTCTTTTTAGAACTAAATTAAAATTAATAGCGTTTAGAGAAGATCATTAATATCGCATTTATCTTGACTAATACGCGAATGCTTTTAACCTTTTATTAAAAAACACGAAAAGATAGAAGCATTCTTTATTTTCCACCTAACCTGTGTAAATGCAAATGTTCATTTCAAAGCGAAATGGCGTGTAACGTAACTATGAACTTTTTATATGACCACACTTAATGACACAATAGCTTAAGATCGGACCATTAATTAACATAAAAAATTTTAATTGTCACAAAAATTTCACAATATTACATTCACAGAAATGTGGCAATTACATGGACTAGTGTGAATTACGAAGGATACCGATACTGCTTTCCAAACTAAACGATAAGCTTGTATTTTGGAAAAGTGTGATTCAGGCGTGGAGTATGTCACAAAGTCTCATTATGTGTCGCTCAATAATGAAGTGAATGTCGCTGCTGCGTAGGGAACTGTGATCAAAAACAAAAGTAATAAAATGAGAAAGGGGTCCATTATTTGTCATTTATTTATACTCATCACAATTTGAGCGCTGTTGAAGGTGACAACTTTAATTAATTATGTCAAAAATAGTTATTTTAGTAATAAACTAAAATAAATCTGGTTGTGTAGTTAAACTTGCCGCAATAGTTACAATACACCCGACGACTGCTACAATGACAAATGTACCAGGAGTACAGTTTATAGAAGGAACCATTAATAATAGAGAAAGCGGCTATAATGCAGGATTTAATCATTTATCTGGTCTTAATGTTTTGAAATGTTTTATGAAATCCTGTCTATTAATTTATTCTAATAACTATTGTTTACATTTTACGAAAGTTTTCGCTAATAACTACTACATAGTACTAAATTAAGAACATCTTGAATAAGTTTCAAAAAATCCTCGTCATTATTCGTCAATAAATAGGATTACCCTGGTTCTTTCTGTGACTTCATCTATTGTACCTACTGGGTAAATCCAAATGAAAAATGGGTACATTATTTTTTCATCATAGGCCTGTATACTCCACTGTGACTAACACACTTGAGTACTGCTGAGTCGTCAAGGGCTTATGTTGACTCAGTTTCTGAATAGTTCAAGATCGGGAAAAACTCGAAGAGAGTCGATATTTCAAGTTGATTAATAGACGTCATTCAGTCTTTCTTGAAAAAATGTTTTTGTGCACTAAGGAGTATATATTTCATTCAATTCTCGCCAATTATGTTGTTAGTCTCATCTAATTGTGAAACTGTTTCCAAACATTATCTAACAAGAATTATTCAGCGGTGGTGCTGGCAACAACAGTAATAAGCTAAGAGTCCATAAAGCTTTCTGTTTATTCGCTTCGTTTTTCTGTTCTGTCTCCTTTTAAAACAATTACCATCCAATTTTAGTAATCATTATTCTACCTATTTGCCAGTGGCAATCTTTTACTACTCTTTCTTACTAGACATGTAGAGATGTGTTGTATTTACAAAGTACAAACAAACGGTCGTTCACCCGCATGATCAGCAGTTTTTTGTTGGTCTGTAATTACGTTTAGTAAAATGTGTTTGCCGATTGAGAAATTAGATTTTGTATTATTTTCTACTGATAAATTGATTGGTATTCCCGATTGAATTTCTTCTATCATTGGAACTGCTATAAAATATTTTGCAATAGTGAGCTTTTACTTCGTTGGTGCTTAGTGTGTTGTATATGCCTTGTCTATTCTAACCGACTGATTTCTTTATTAAACATGTATTAAAAATGAAACCAACAAAAATAAATCTACTCAATCAATCTATCATCCAAACATATTCAATTACAGTGTGCACAATTTCAATAGCAATATTCGCTACCTACAAATTTAAGTTTAGGACCACACCTAAGATATAAACGCGTGGGATCACGCCCATAGCATCATAATTGAGAACACACTGTCTATGCTAATACGAGCAACTGAGTACAAACATAGTAGTCTGGCAAGCCATATCATAATAATCGCTATGTCTTTGGAATAAAGTGCTGATGGAAGACGTTGATAATTTTGCGGGAGTTGAAGTAGTGAATCATGGGAGATGAGCCTCATTCACCGTGATAGGCAATGTTGCAGTAACGAAACGGGTAATAGAGACTGTTTGCGATACACATGGGCGTGTTCCATAAATGCTATCAGCTCTATTAATGTAGCCGTTTATAATTATTGGGATTTCACAAATTATGGCTTTGTATCAAGTGGTTTTGCTGAAGGACCACACGTGATATTGATGTGAGCTTATCTATCGATTAATTTGTTACATGCAGCTACTTGTGTGGTAAATTAAATGAAGATATTATTATTTAATCGGGAATAACACAGATCACCTATAAATTTACTTTAGTTTTTGAAGCATGATTGATATTAAAATTAAAACAAGATCTTATAGCGATTGACGACCCACTGTATCACATCAGTTGACAAATCAAATATAATGAAAGAAATTTGGATCAAAAGACCACACACGATCCTAAGTCCTAATCAACAAGCATCAACAAATGCCATTTAAAAACCAACTCAGTATTCTCTAACTCACTTCAAGTGTTAGATGTAAGATAAGATGCTTAAACTTTCTGATCAGGTTTGGGTCAAGTCTTCTTGGCACGTGCTAAGGCTTTCGATAGAGATGGACTGTATATGAACCGACGGACGTAAATGGTTTAGTAATGTTGCTGTACTTCAGACCTCACTGAGGTGATTTAGTAATTCATAATAAGACTAAATCCAATAGCGATTTAGTCTGCTCTTGAAATTGGGTGGGATCTAATTGAGAAGGATCTTCTTTTCCATGAGTCGTTGTTCAAAATAATTGTTGACATCATCAGCAGAAATGGTATTAGGTTGTCTTTATTGGTTTGTGTGTGGGAGTTAAGTTTAATCTTCATATTAAAAACAAATTTATTTTGTGCGGGTGTAATTCAACTGGTTCAGTTGTGTTAAAAATAGATTGTCAGTAACAATGTTATTTTATTAATCTCAATATTTTATGCTGCTATGTCTCCCTTTCCGGTACATATGAGGAGGTATTTACTGTACTGGAAATTTGTAATGTCCAAATTTCTGCAAATCCTTCCATGTCCACTTGGATTAAGTGAACAATAATGGTCATCGTTACGACAAATGACTCACTAAAACAATACCCTCGAAAATAACAGAAGTACAGTTTTGCAACTTGAAACTTTAAACGAGCTAACTTTGCACCATCTGGTAGATATATCATGCAGACTAGAGCAACCCAATTTAGTCGAGTTTAGTTTGGCCATTACCAATTAGTACTTACATTAGACCACTTAAATAGTTTGTCCTTTACCCGTGCACTGAGTAGACGACTTTAGCCTTAGGTATAATATAGGGTTACCTCGAATAGGATCTTTCTGTAGTGAATGTAAAATGCATCTTCTTTTTACTTGTATGCAAAAACATTGATTTGTAATATCAATTCGAAAACGATGAAGTAGCAACCGGACGAATAGGGCTCTAAAACTTTTCTTTTCTCTGAACAAAATTAAAAATACGTGTCTAATATATTTTCATTATTTAACTGACGATGAAGGGTTAAAAAAATATTTAAATCTCATACTCTGCCCACATCATATTCCATCCTTGCTTACAGACTAGCGGGAGCTTTTGTTTGACTTTTGAAAGAGCTAAACCAACCGCAGACAGTCTATATGATAATGAGTTTTCCTTCGAACCATTTATGGAGACGTTTACAATCTCTTAAATGTTATTTTGATATAGAAACTTATCAAATCCGCCCCCACTAGGGCTTTCACATTAAATATTTTCTCTGTTTCGTTTTAAAGTAACATTGGCCCTCTTACGTAAACCTTGCCAATAAGGAAATACTGCTATCATGAATATAAGTAGTATCTTTTGTTAAAATAATAAAATGGTATTTACGATGGAGCACCATTTCTGCCGATTTATGAGTACGCAGCGTTGATCGTAAGTTCGCGAACTCATTGCTTAGGAATATTGGCTGTAAATAATATAATCATAAATGTCGATGTCCAATGAGATTGTTCTAAGATAATGGTATTGCGAAAATAGACAAACAGTAAATATTATTCTGAAACATCATCAAATCGTTGTTCGAAATGCGGATGAACAAACGCAGCTCTTTGACAAGTCACTTTTAAAATTGCGATTACAAAAAACCTCCTTGACTAGAAATCACTTAATACATAAGCGCACTTATCTCTATACTCAAGTACCTCTAATAGTCCTCGACAAGTATTGAATTCACTTCAAAGAGAAGGAATGTCTTTATCAGATTAGATGGGACCGACAGATTGTATCGGATCAGGTGTATAACCAGCTGTAAGTTGATATATTGGTATTTGGAGTTTAAATTAGCTGTGGGATTGTCTTTGTCGTTGTAGTCTTGGACTGTAGTAGACAAGCTATTTATTTTGAAATTACATCGTTTACGCTTTATCGACTATTATGAAATTTGGGCCTACTGTCATCTCCTATACACTTAACTTCATATGTATCGTTATTCTCAACACTGTTCCCAGTAGATTAAACTGTAAGACTATGTAGTCTGATCTCCCTTTTAGGTATTACATGCGTTAGATACCATAAAATATAATTTATTAGTTCAGTATCAGCCCTGTTACTGCGTATACCGTTACAGACGTATAAGCCAATATCTTGGAAACTGGTTCATTGCTAGCCGATCCTTGTTGGGATACAGAATCCATCACGATTGAATACAATGTGCTGTTATAACATAGGCGTAATGTATACGCGGATGGATATTTTTATTGGAATTTGCCATATTGGAAATAGATAGGCTTCCCTTTATACCTAGGGTATGGTTGACTATAAATGTGCTGATTTGGAACTTGAACGAGAAAAGGATATTTAACAGTTTAAACTATCCTAGACTTGTATAATATACGCCTTATTGATTTTAATTTTTCTCTTGTTCCAGGCGTCTATGGACTTACCCCCGGACAAAGCGAAACTTCTACGCAACTATGACCTGGAAAAGAAATGGGAGATTATTTGCGACCAGGACATGGTGCAGGCGAAGGACTCGCCGGCGCACTACCTCAACAAGCTCCGAACGTACCTCGACCCCAAAGCTTCCAGGAGTCACAGGGTACGTAACAGCATAGATCTTAGTATGTATAAGAAAGTAGTATAAGAGAGTAGTAGTAGTATAGTAGTAGGTGTATAAGAATAGTAGCAAGATCTTTTGCTGTTTCTTAATGAATCTATTAAACATGTTTCATTTAAACTTAATCTAGTTTAGTTTAAGATAGATGTTATGATGACAATTTAGGAAAGTACTTTTGATATTATACACGACATTTAGGTGATCTGGGACAAGGCTTTTTTGATGCAGGTGAAATCGTTACCGTTTTTCATGGCCGGCCGTAAGCTATCTTGTTAAATGTTAAATAAAAAAAGTTCTGTATCGCTGTGACATATAGTACAAGCGAGTAAATGATAATGTTGCGAAAACACAACATTGTTCGTTTTTAGCTTTCGCCGTCAAAGGATACTATAGAAATGTTAACAAAGTTGCGCCAAGCTCCGTATTGGGCGATACCGTTACACATTGTAAACAATGAGCGGGCATTAGTGAACGATAGTGATCTGTGGCCGCCAGCAATTTGTGGATACGACACCATTGTGCACTGGAACACCAACGGAAAGGACTTTGTTTTCTTATAACAACACTGTTAAAACCTCTTTTGTCAGAGAGTGAGTCATCTTTCACAGGTTAGGTGACCTGTTCACCTTCGATCTCTGTTTTATTGGCAATGTTAGGCGCTTGATGTCAGTATCAGTTCACACTGCCTTTACCATCTCCATAGATTTTTTCCTAAAACCTCATTCTATTATCCTAAGTAGAACCTCTTGCGTAGGTAATATGATAGGAATGGCACTGATTTTGTAATTCTAATAAGTATTCGTGGTAATCTGAAAAGATAAGCTGATTAGAGGCACATATAGATAATACACAGCTATTTTTTTTTTTTTTAATGGGACAAGCCCGCCACAACCTCCCAAAACCGCTGCAACTCCTGTAAGCCAGGATCTACAGTAGATACAACCATGAAAACACCGAAACACTGAAGTCCGGCGCGTCCCAGGGACATGAGTAACTGTCTTGGTTCCCGCAACGAAATGAATCAGAAGATATTATAAGAGGAGAAGAAAAAACTATAGTTTCCACTTCCCTCGGTGAATTTCTGCAGGAGACAGAATGAATTAAGCCTAAAGGCAAAAGAAGAGACTGTACAACTGGGTGAAGCCAGTCGCCAAGCCACGGAAATTTGACTAAAAAACTAAGTGGGTCCTATGTGTGAGCTGTTATACTTGCTTCCAATAATAGGTATGGCAAAAACACCTAAACGCACGGAAATTTGTTCTAGATTCCACAAGGTCCGTATAATAAGCTACACCTGACGAAACTATTAAATTATTCAACATAGTGTTACGTTCATATTGCCAGAGATCACACTCCCAGAGTATGTGATGGGCCGACTGCTCGTATTGCAAATCCACTGTCGAACATTGGCACCATGGTGAATCAATAAGTTTAAATGAGAACAATTTGCTTTTAAAGTTGCCGTGGCCAGTAAGAAATTGGGCAACACAGTGATCCACCTCCAACCATGTCCTCTCCAGCCGCTCATGCACGGATGGGAAGAACTGATATAGGTGGCGGCCCTTAATAGAAGATCCCCATCTACCCTGCCATTCAGTTATAAGCTCATCCCAGACGTCCGTTATTGGCTTAAACAATCTAGCAATTTTATTTCTATCACGTTAATACACAGCTATGTTAGTTACACTTAACCAAGCTTATAACCCATAACATTAAAACATCATGTACTTTACAACACAAACGTAGAAAAGCCCTCCAGCTCCCAGTCCCGTTATGTCGCACACAATGACCAATACATCACGTTTTATCGATAGGGATCGCTGGCCAGCCTCAATTTGTGGGCAATCCTAAGCTTCTGTACAACTGCTCGTTACAAGTAAATGTGTTAAAGCCTTTTTGGTTTCTTTAATGGGATTGCCTTGGAATCTTAGAAAAAGTCGCCATGTTCCTATTAAGAATTCCCTTCACAACTTTATTGGCTTTTAAATCGCAAGTTATTGGTGTCGTGTAAGCCTGTGGGCCGGACGCCATTTAAAGCTGTTTGATTCACTTATTGATGTCCGTGCAATCAAAATTGGAGACGAGGGTTGAGGTGGCTCTGGTTCGTATATTTCGGGGAACTTTTTTACATGGCTACTGAACTTATTGAATAACACCCAGTCTGTAAATCTCTTTACAATTCGAAATGATCTTTAAAACGGTTTAATTGTGATCATCATCAATAGCCGTCTCGTATGAAGAGATCAAATGGATATTACAATAGTAATAATTCAAGTTATACATATTTGACCTACTAAAGCCGTCAATTAAACTTGAACTCTCACCAGCTAGACAGCTACTATGTGACCTCCAGATTTGGAGCAGGCAAACAAACAAACAAACAAACTTGTCTACTAGGGTAGCGTAATGGCGTTGTAGATTTTATGGGCACGCCTTCATTATCATGTTTAGAGTTTTGTTTGTGAATAGCGTATAATACTGTTTGTTTTGATATGAACAAAAATATATTCAGATCTAAGCAGTATTAGAATTCTGTTTGTTTTCTTCGTAATGGGAATAAATGATGTATGTGCATTTTGGTAGTATCGTAGAATATTACATTTCGTGGGCCTTGTTTTATTCATTTTTTTTAAAGCAAGATCATATTTAATCATACATCAATCATCATCAAGCCTAAAAGTGCCCACCGCTGACCAAAGAAAGGCCTCTTCTCACACGGAGAAGGTTTGAACATTAATCAGCACGCTTGCTCAAGGCGGATTGTATATCATAAAAGCAAAGCACTCAGGACTAGGTGGCTCCTCTGGTGTTGCGATTGTCCATGGGCGGCGCTGATCGCTTACCATCAGGTGATCCGACTGCTCGTTATCGCCTCCTATTCCATAAACAAATATTACATTGAGGAGATGTTAAAAGCCTATCTGTAACATATTTATCAGAAGTAGTTAGAATCGTAGTAAGTAGTAAGATGAAAGGGGGATATATCTCTGTCTCAGTAAATCAATTTGAAATGATTAAGAGTATAGTTCAAACTTTGACTGAATGACCCACCTGTCAGTGTCCATTGATACTTTGTTTTTACGTGGTCATTAAATTATTACTCGCTGGTTTAACTCACCATGATAAATAAACATTCAGCTCAAGGCTTGTGAATGCAATGGCGCAAATAATTATAAGTAAGCTTTGTGCCCACAGTAATCGCTCTTTTCCTAACGATTATCTTAGAACTAGCTACTTGCGCGCGGGTCCACCCGCTCTGCTCGGCTCGTATTGATCGTAGTGTGCTGTTTTATAGCCTATAGCCTTCCTCGATAAATGGACTATCCAACGCAAAACAATTTTTTAATCGGACCAGTAGTTCCTGAGATTAGCGCATTCAAACAAACAAACTCTTCAGCTTCATATAATAGTTAAAAGAAATGTAACCGGAGGCCTTTTACACTAGAATTTTCCGGAAGGGTTACTAGTGAGATCTAAGTTAGGATTGTTGACCAATAGATAATTGGCTAGTATCAAAACATTTGATATTTAATTTTTGACACTACTACGCTTGATTCAACTGCCTCGTTGACCGAGTGATCGCAAGTGCGACTGCCGTGCTGGGTCGAGCAAAGTGGTAGGGTTTTTAGAAATCTCAGTAGTAGCGGAATCTGGAAATGAGCCCGGTATATGGCAATAGGCTCACCCTCTATTACATAGGACTCATGACATAAATAGTGAACAGTGGGTGTTACATTGTACAGTGGCATTAAGTGCCGTATTATGCACCTCTGCCTACCTTTTTTTTTTGTTTTTTTTTTTGCCCCACACTAGGATTTTCTCCTGTGTCGTGGGTGCGTTTACAAACATACAAGTTCACATACACATGACACCCAGACCCGAAACAACAATTTGTGGATCACACAAAGTGTTGTCCCGTGCGGGAATCGAACCCGCGACACGTTGCACGGCAGTCGGTTGCTCAGCCACCGCACCAACCATGCAGTCAGATGATAAAAGGCGTAATGTTATGCTATGTTATGTACCGCTTGACGCTACACTGCCATTAGTACAAACAAGGTCAAAAATGGTATTCCTCGTTAATATAATGAATGAATGAATGAATGAATATTCGGCATCGAAATTCTCAGTGCTAGCATGAAGTCCAATAAGGGTTTACTTAACCAAATAATGACAACTTTTGGTTTGCTTCCATTGCTCGTATCGCTCATGTCAATCGGCCAAGTTTTATTATAACAAAAATTCCATGTTGATTATATCATGTGTTTCATTGCGCTTAGTCTATTAAAACAATTATGAAGACAATACAATTGTATGAAACTTCACAATCTAGTATAATCTAGCCATCTTCATTACTATTTTATGAGACGTGCTAATATCTGATCTGATTGCACGGTACAACGTTTGTGTTATCCACAGATTGTTGTTCTGTCTGGGTGTCATGTGTATGCGAACTTGTATGTTTGTAAACGCACACACGACACCGGAGAAAATGTTAATGTGGGGCAATGTTGTCTAAAGAAAACAAAATATTTTAGTTCATAACTGCATCATAAATGATTGCTGCAGAGCAATGTGTTTCCTATTTCAGGCAAAATAAAATCTTATTGAGATTATCCATTTTGTAGCACGGAGTCGAAAACGGGCCCAATCTATGGCACTTAGCTTGCCCCCTATTACATTACCCCTTTTCACCTGAAACAATCGGAGTCGCGGAGAACCTAACGGGTTACCGGGACTCCGGCTCGAAGTGCAGGAGAACGAACGGGGTGGTTTTTAGTCAGTAAGAGACTGACACTCCCTCCCGCCTCATCCAGGCGGGAGAAGTAATTCGATGATTTCCTCCCCTTAAAAAAAATACCTGAACCAAATTGTCGAAAAATTATGTGCATCTCTGCTTACTACAGTTTTATTCTCAAAAATATATTTTAAGAGCGTTATTTTTAGTGTTTCATCATGTAATATGCAGGTAAAACTCAGCGTAAACACCTGTGCTGTGGTTTGGCAGCTTTTACGTAAACGGGGAGTCGCACGCGCAGGTGCTGGGGAGATTGTATGTAGATACGATGTATGATGGCTCGTGAAGTGGCCCTGACGAACTATAAACAGTTATTGTTGAAATAATAAGCGAATATTGTTTGTCTTGTACAATTTCATAAGATTTATGAAAAAGAAATAGAATAGTTTTCTGTGATGCACTTAACTATTCCAATTTCTTTGCAACAAAGACGTCTCACACAATGCTTTTCAATAGCACATATTAAAAATAAAAGGTTTTATTATCCCCGAAGGGATGAAGCAGAGGTGCAAAATACCACAATTCCAGACTCCGTGCTACTACTGAGAATTCTTAAAATCCCAGTAATACTTTGTCAGACCTGGGAATCGCACCCGAGACACCTTGTCGGGTCACACCTGCGACCACTCATCCAACGACGCAGTCAATTTTCGAGTTCTATAGAATAAACTTCATTAAACTAAGTTTTCGGTCCTCTAGTGACACATATACGTCAAGATTTGGTTAATTTAGCCTAGAGGCTAACCTTCTAAGTAATAGCATCGTGTAACTTCCATTACAACCCATTAAATCTACACGCTACGCCCATTTTCCTTATGGCGATATAAAAGCAACAGGCGCCTAGCAGACGCTCATATATTTGCCCAAAAACCTCACACTTTGTTGTTTTCGACACTTATTTGTACTTAGCAAATATTGTTATGTGATTTTAGTACAATTTTTGGGGCATCAGTCATTTTATTATTCTTGTAATGTTTATTCGCAGTAGGTGTAAATAAGAGGGTTGCCGTAATTTCCAAGCTTGGCAAACGGCTTGAAAATCTTATTTTGTTGTCTGTGAATCGGATAATAACAATAATAAACTTAAGGCACTTAAAGTTATCGATGACTATGTGGGAACCGTTTTGGCATAGATATAAAATATCTATATGAAATATGATACTCGTGATGTGAGTTCAACGGTGTCGTTGTGAAGTACAGAGATGAATAAGTGAACCAGGGCGAGCCCTTGTATGCATCTGGCGCCGAATGTTGCAATCGGAAGAGATCTTTAGTCATATGTCGCAAGAAAGTTTGTGAAAGAAACAAGTACCAACCTAATGATTTATATTCATATACAACGAGAAAATCTTACAAATCAGCCGAGCTACCCAAGTTATTTAATACACAGATACAATTATAATGGAAACCGAAACCTCACATCATAATTAGACATTATTCCTTTTATTATAATACCAATCCAATAGTAAGAATTAGATTAATATGGAACCCTACAGATACCCCTTCAACACACCAAAAGCTACTTTAAATCCCAGTAACGTAACAACAAGAACAGAACAAGAATAGTTAAGACTTCCTCACTTCGCAAATAGCTCCCAATAGAGACATTTATCCAGAACAAAAGCGACAAATACTCAACTAGAGCTAACTGGCAATTAAGGTAGCGTGGAACTAACAGAGCTCTGAGCTAACAGTAAATCCTGATGAGTTAGAACTTAGAACAACAACCTAGACCCCACATGAGACGAGATGCCATTTGACCTCGGGACGAGATCACGAGGCGTACACATGTTCGGTTATCATGTCAACTAAGGAACTGACGGTTTCCTGGAGACTAATGCAGTTGTGCAAGGTCGAAGTGGTTATCGTTTTGGATCGGAACTGTACGGTTCGTTGGGACGGTTGGAACGTCTTGTAGTACTTCATTTGAATAATTAATTAGAAATGAATAGAATTCATGAGATGCCAAAAAAATTATCTTCGATACACCATTGCACTGTTAAAAACAATGCTTTAGAGAATTTAAGTAATCTTGAGTCAATTGTAGGGAGCTAGTGTTATTGAGACTATAACCATTTATTACTACTCATCTTAGACTAATACAATATATATATTTTATAACACAGATCTTACTTAGTACATACACATAACAATATTAATTATTCAAAACTCTAAAGAAAAAGTGACAAAAATATGTAATTTTTTCAAAATAATGTGTACAACAGATAACTCAATCATTAGGATCACTAGAACAACGTGATAATCCCTGACCTTTTCCTTAATTTTAATTATTGAGGTCGTACGACAGTCCGGTCGTATTGCCCAATAACGTCACCTCTCAAATAGTAATCATGTGTGTCATTGTACTTGTCGCACGTTTCTGACTATGGAAAGTATAAACTGTAAAATTATCTTCGTCTTGTTCAACTGACGTGTAAATACAGATAAATTATAAAAATGGCCACTAATGAAGAAATATAAATAGAAGCTCTCGAAAATATTATTTTTCTTTGAACTGATCAGACATACGGTTTTCATACATTTTTGAGCTCTCTAATTCGTAACTGTCCAGCGAGTTTTCTCATACGGAATAGTGGCAATTCTATTTAATAATCATATTAAAAATCGCTTTTACTCCTTCATTGTGCCGCACCATGAATGGTCGTACATGCATACATGCATATACATTCTAGATGAATACCAGCGCAACGTATATGGACTTAAATTGTCTTATCTATCCGAGATATACCTGAACTTTCACCAGATATGTAGCAGTTGTTTTGCTGGTCCTAGGGTCATATAATATCGGGGTAAACCAATTAGGGATCGAGGTTTCTTAGCTCCATGTATCAAAAACACGATATCTTTGATACAAATCTCAAATCTCTACAGATAGATACATATTTTATGCAGGTTAGTTCTGAGGTTTAGCAATGAAAACTTTTAAGCATTTCTTTAACCAGAATTTTTCCAAAACCCTTAGGTGACTCTTTAAACTTTACTTACCTTCTGCTAATAGACTCTGAACTTCGCCGAATCCCATATTTAACCAACATAACTCAATTCGCCAAGGCAATACCACATCCTTGCCTATAGCTGTTGTCACAATTTCTGTCGTTTACTCGTAAAGTCTGCAATAAATGGCTTCCTAAATAAGAATTCAAATAGCTTCCAACGTATGTCTGATGTCTCACCTTTTGTTGATCCACATCATGTAGTCGTAGCTCGTGCAGTCGTGATCGCCACATACAAACATATCTTCCAGCCAGGTCTCGAAGGGTGCACGGGGAGGAGCAACTTTCTCTTACGTTTAGCATTGTAAACTTCGTGATTAGCTGGCGGCATTATACGCTAATTCTATCTGAGCTTCGTTTATTAAATCCTATCTACTAATGCGCACTCGATTCTTGTTCTAGAAACCGAATTAATACAATTGATCTAATCTATTAGTACATTGTGTCGAGTAGAAGTGAAAAGGCTAATGTATGCATTTTGTTTTTTCAGAAACGAAAAATGGTCGGCGACTCAACTTCGACGCAAGTCCTTAGGGACTTGGAGATTTCGTTACGAACAAACCATATAGAGTGAGTATTTGAAACTATAATGTTAAGAAATTACGTGAAGGAATAGTAGCTTCATGGATCTGTTGTTGTATCATAAAAGAAGCTTATGTCTAACAGGAGATCTTGATATGCTGACGTGCTCATCACGAGTAGCACAACCAAATACTAAATTAACTGATCTATGAAATTGTCTTCATGAATATAAGGAATTGTAACAAGTAATCATCAAACAGTAGTAGTAGGGTAGTGTACAGCTCTGGAGCTTCTGGCACAAAATATCTACTTTATGTTGTTCCATAACTGTTTGGACGGGAGCCAGAAAATTATGTACCATTTAAGGATAGCTCGCGTATTTCTTCCTGACAGTCGGGTGAAATGTAACACACTGTTATCGTAAATATTGTTCACAATTTATGTTCTGTCGAATGAGTTCGAGCCGATTAAGCTAGATTTGGAATTTTTTGTCTAGTACCTATCTTTATCTCATCTGCTAGAAATGAATTTTATGTCTTGCTCTTTAAAACAGTCAAACACCGTGAGGACACCGGTGGCCGCAACCAATTGTTCTTTAATTGTGTCTATAATGACGGTACTCAAAGGGTTAAGGGTGATATACTACACTTGTGTGTACTTTACTAAATTATTTATAATTTTATATATCCCTAATGTCTGTCATTCATTGGTCAAAACACAAGTAATAAGACACATTTCTCGTTTTCCAGATGGGTGCGCGAATTCCTGAACGAACAGAACCAGGGCCTGGACGTGCTGATCGATTACCTCAGCTTTAGGCTCAGCATGATGCGGCATGAGCAGAGGATCGCACTCGCCAGGAGCCAGTCCAGCGATGGGATCAACCAAGGTACGGTAAAATGAATCTTAAGAATTATATATTATATATAATTATATTATACTGTCTAATTTTGAAATAAATGCATAAAGCACAGCTCTTCGTTAATTTATTATGTTTCAAGTGCCATCACAATTCTATAGGTGCTCCAACCAATTATCAAGAATTTTAAACAAAAGGTACTTAAATAACATAAGGATCAATATTGAAACTTATTGCTTAGAATTTAAACATGTATCCACCAAGGCAGTAAACATAATCCCTGCATATCCACTCACGCGTGGTTGATGACTCTGGTCTTTCATGTGAACACAGACTACTGCGACCGTTCACCATGGTCCATAACCTTTATTGCTGCCTTAAGTACCAAAAAACGGCACAGCTTAATCACCATTTAAACTTTAATCCCCAGTAAATACAACAACATCAGAATGCAGTGGACCAACAGAAACAGGGTCCACAATGTCAGCATCATGGCGGCGGAGGGCGCGCAGTGCAGAAGCCGAGTGTGAAGGTGCAGCGAGCCCGGCCGTTGCCCGGCGACGGACGAGGCACGCTGCGCGGCTCAACATGGGCGCCTCCACCGATGATATACACGTCTGCATCATGTGCATGCGAGCTATCATGAATAATAAGGTACATACCATACTCCATCCCCAATCTCCAAAGAGGCACCGCACTTATCACTCCTCTATTATTGCGAGTATCAATGAGCGGCACCGATTCCCTACGTTGCGCGTTGGTGATTCGGCTGCCGCCCTGTACCTTAAAGAATATTGTATTGGTAGTATGACTGCCTAGTGGCAAGTGTGAAAGTTGGGTGTTGCTGACTATTTTTTACAGTAACCGTTTGAATTTTTATTAAGTATTCTTTTACTTTACTAACCCTGTCATTTGAAAACTAATATTTTTTAACTCGTAAACAAAACTCGTCGTACAAGAATTATCTGATTTTTTCCTCTCTTACAGTATGGCTTCAACATGGTGATCCAGCATCGTGAAGCGATCAACAGTATAGCTCTCTCCCTGGTCCATCACTCGTTACGAACCAAAGCTCTAGTGCTGGAACTCCTGGCTGCCATCTGCCTGGTCAAGGGTGGCCATCAGATAATACTGTCTGCCTTTGATAACTTTAAAGAGGTTGTTGGAGAGCCCAGGCGGTTTCACACGCTCATGGAGTACTTTATGAATTATGATAATTTTCATATTGAGTTTATGGTGAGTTGGTATTCACAAAATTAGTGAGTTAATTGGTTAAGAATGTGGTTTTGCCTCTTCTTTTAAAGATTCAATATTAACCTTAACTTACGCAATAAGAAATTAGGATTAAAAATGAATAGTTGCGCAAATCAAAATACTATTGCGCAAACTAATATGCTGTTGCGCAAAGATGCGCTATTAACATTACGAACTTAATACTTTATTGGATACTTGCATGTTACTTTATATTACGTGTTCTTCTCCAGGTGGCGTGCATGCAATTTGTGAATATAATAGTGCATTCTGTGGAAGATATGAACTTCAGAGTGCATCTACAGTATGAGTTCACTGCGTTAAAGCTGGACGACTATCTCGAGAGGCTACGGTTGTGTGAGAGCGATGACTTACAGGTAAGAAAAAAATATAACAGATTAATAATGCAACAACGGCTGATTACACATGAAAAACTAACTATGTACTATATTCTGGTCTTCTTCAATAGATTTTCAACTTAACTATTTTGTGTTAAAGTCAAAAATCCTATGTGCTTTGCAATAGATGTAAGGCCTTTTTTGTAACGTTAAGTCATTGTTGTTATCAGGTGCAAATCTCAGCGTACTTGGACAACGTGTTCGACGTGGCCGCGTTGATGGAGGACAGTGAGACCAAGACCGCAGCACTCGAGAAGGTCAACGAACTCGAAGATGAATTGGGACATGTAAGTTATCTAACTCCCGTTCTCAGAGACATTTAATAATTACTTAAACAGTTTCTTAGCAACCATTTTGTTCCGAAAATAATTGCTAGTGACTGGTTTTTATAATAACTATCGTGAGACATACTTAATTAACTAAAAATCCCGGGTTACTCACGTGAAAATACTGAGAAAAGCTCTACTAGTTTCGAACCACAGAGGGGTTCTTCCTCGTGAGCAGCGTGTGCGGTCGCTGTGACGTCGCGCAGCCTGCTACTACTAGCGTTGGCGCTTGCGTTGGTGTAGTTATTACTGTTGTTTTTGTTGAAACTATGTATAAAATTTGTAAACATTTCCAGGCACACGAAAGAATGGCGGCACTAGAGAGAGAAGCTATAGCGAAGCTGGCGACGCTGGAATCTGAGCTGGCGGCTGTTAGAGCAGAGAGAGACCAACTCGCTGAGGCTAGGAGACAAGTCGTAGAGGAGGTAAGCAGATATTTAATGTATCTCATCATTAAATCCACAAGGCGGTCATACTATCCAATTAGGTCGCAGGCCGCTTCCACCCTTTGTATCCTGGAGTAGTTGTGGAAATAATATAGTATTTATAGAGGCAAGATAATATAGAATCGTATTATTTGTTCTCTAGGTATCGACGCTACGTCGCGCGCAGCAGGACTCACGCAACCGACAGTCGATGTTAGAGTCCAAGGTACAGGAACTAGAGTCACTCACCAAGTCACTACCCCGGGGAGCTTCCAGTAAGTACATCTGTATAGTATTATGATATTTACTATAGTATACATAAGAACTTTATTTTATTAGCAATAAAGGTGATTTTTATGGAATCAAATTACGTGAACAATCTTAAAATTTTTTAATAAAATCTTCTTACTTCCAGTGGGTGCTATATCCTCACACGCATTATGTAACGGTACTACGAACGGTCACGGTGCTTCTCCCCCTCCCCTACCAAACGGTGACACGCCTACATCGAAGTGTCCCCCTCCCCCTCCCCCTCCTGCGCCAGCACCTCCTGCGCCTCCCGCACCCCCTCCAGCAGCACCGTGTCCCCCTCCTCCTCCTCCCCCTCCGCTGCTAGCTCCCGCACCCCCTCCCCCCGCACCTCCTGCACCTGGATTAATGGCACCCCCCATGCACACGGACGCCATGACCATCAAGAGGAAGGTGGATACTAAGTATAAGCTGCCTACGCTCAACTGGATCGCGCTCAAACCTAATCAAGTGAGTGAAAACGTTTTTATTTATAATCTGACTCTTAATTGGTTCTAGATATTTCAAGGAGAATAACGATCAAAGCTAATCTTCTTGATACATTCTAGGAAATCAGCAGTTGTGCTACACTTTGTATAGGTACTCGAAGTTTAGTAACGGTGCTAGTTATTTTTATGCACATTGAAATTCTTCATGAACCTCAATGTAAATAACAGTCACTTTAAATCTGTAACTTCTTTTTCCCCCAAAAGGTACGCGGCACAATATTCAACGAATTAGACGAGGAGCGTCCTCGCCGGCGGATTAACTTCGCGGAGTTTGAAGAGAAGTTCCGGCTAGGGGGCGCCGTGGGGGCTCAGCCAGACCCCGACAGTGACACGCTCGCGTCGTTCCCCAGCAAGAGGTTCCGGAAACCTGACACCGTGTCGCTACTGGAGCATACGCGACTTAGGAATATAGGTATGGTGTTCGTGTATTAAGTTGGTTATTTTCTTCTTTAAGTTCCATGCTGACCCATTGTTTTACAAAAATGCGTGTAATTCCAAAAATGACTAATTCAGTCTACTTCGTACATTTTCGATGAGTAAAATGTGTGAAATAACATGTTCCAACAAAACTAATTCGCTAACTTAACTTACTTTTACAGCAATATCAAGAAGAAAGCTCGACACACCCGTAGAAAAAGTGATAGCAGCCGTCAACAGTTTAGACCTCAAACAACTACCACTAGAAAGCGTAGAGATCCTTCAACGTATGGTACCGACAGAGGCAGAACAAAAAGCATACAAAGAATACGTTGCAGAGAAAAAACCAATAAACCAACTAACGGAAGAAGACAAATTCCTAATGCAACTCACCAAAGTAGAACGCATATCAGCCAAGCTCTCTATCATGAGTTATATGGGCAATTTCTTCGATAACATACATTTGATCACGCCGCAAATACATGCCATTATTTCTGGGTCTTCATCAGTCAAGTCGTCTACAAAATTACGCAATGTACTTGAAATTATTCTAGCATTTGGTAACTATTTGAACAGTAGTAAGCGGGGGCCGGCGTATGGTTTCAAACTGCAGTCGTTGGACACGCTGATGGATACAAAGTCGACGGATAAGAGAATATCTCTATTGCACTATATCGTGGCTACGATTAGACAGAACTTCCCCGAGTTGATGAACTTCGATACAGAGCTGTTGTATATTGATAAGGCGGCTCAAGGTGGGTTATGTTTTGTAAATGTTTTATTAAGTTCAAGTAGTTGAGTAAATAGTATAGAATTGCTGCTTTCATTTTGTCCTCAAAAGGTAGTTTTGACTAGAGCTAGGTACTGTTTTTGTACTCACACTGCTGAGATATAAAGTCGTGTAACTATCTATTCATTCGCTCTTAATACTTGATCGATCAATCACTTTTATTATTATGTAGATATTTCATAAACCAAGAAAACTTACGCGACGTTGGTTGCTGTCGTTTTGTTAAAAAAATACGATCCTAAAATACACTTCTCGAAAAATAGTTTCATTTCTGAATGAGACCTGCTTCATCCTGTTTAATACTGTCTAGCTTCTATCTATAGCTTCAATTATATATTATACAAGAAGCTCCATAATTTGGTCTAAGTTACTTATTATCATTATAAACGGTGAAAACATCGTGAGGAAACCTGGACTTATCATTTCTAATTTTAAGTTTGAAATCACCAATCCGCATTGAGCAACCGTGGTGATTAATGCTCAAACCTTCTCCGGGTGAGAAGAGGCTTTGCTCAGCGGTGGGCATTTAAAGGGCTGTTGATGATGACTTATTATCATTATTGTATCTCAGTATCCCTGGAGAACGTGGCCGGCGACGTGTCAGAGTTAGAGCGTGGTATGGAACTAGTTCGTCGGGAGGCGGAGGCCCGCGACTGCCTGCGGTCCGCGCCGCACGTACTGAGAGACTTCCTCGCCAACGCCAGCGACAAACTGCGCCGGCTCAGGGGGGAGACCAAACATGCACAGGTATTGTACTTGTACCGTAAAATGGGGTGGATAAGGATCGAGAGGTGAATAGAGGCAGAATAGAGGAAATTTTTCATAGTATCAATTCACCTCTCTTCTGTTCCTATTGACATCTCGATCCCTATTCACCCCATTTTACAGACAAATGAATAATAAATCATAACATTTTACAAATAAATAATAAATCTCAATCCAAATATTTTGTCTTAACTGATCAATCCCAAGCGGTTACCGGTGACCGCTCTCCATTAAGTCCATTATATACTTTATTTCCGATGTTTAGAGACTAGTTTTGTATGAACAAATTTTGGAGATTTATATCAAGTGATTAACATCATTTTGACATGCCCTGATCCCTAGATCTAAAGATTTTGGATTACGATTAATTATTGATTTCAAATGTTTGAAAATAATTAGAGTACGCTACTCCTATTAGTGCCGATGGAGGATTTTGGGAACGTTGATACAATTTTGGCTACGGAATAATAATTTTGAATTAGTGGCCAAAAATTTATATTATAACAATTCTTGCTATCATTATAAATAGCTGGAAAATATCCAGTTCTAAATCAAATTGTCCTCTTTATACTACGAATAATTTATTGTTAACTTTCAAAAATAATTTATATGCCTTGAATACTTAAGATATACGATATTATTGCAGGACTCGTTCGCATCCTGCGTGGAATACTTCGGCGAGGCGCCGCGTGGCTGCGACGCCAATGCTTTCTTCTCGCTGCTCGTCCGGTTCACGAGAGCGTTCAAGGTAAAGTCTTCAATACTTAGTAATAAGGTCTATATTCACTTGAAATATTTATTTAAATATTAAACTAAATCTGATGTTTACATATTTAAAACGTGTACATGTAAAACTGGGTGATAAAATGCCAATGGATCGAAAGAAGTGAAATTCGATGCATATGTCGTCAGAATACTATACTCGGAATTTTAATTCGATTCCAGATTTGACAATTTCAGTGTTGCAACGTTATGACAAGTACTAAATAGTGACGTTGCGAAATTATTCGATATGGAAATGCAATATTTCTGGATCGATTCTTCTCGTTTATAATTTTAGTCTTGTAAGCTACGTATATCAGGAAATTAAATATTTCTGAATCGATAATTTAGTTTTGACGATTAATTAACGATTTGAGACTTTTCTTTTATAATTGTGTGTGAAATAAATAAAAAAATGTAATCATGAAGGAACATGACAAATAAAACAGATAGATGTATCATGGTAATAAGTTATTTTATAAATTGTCGCCGTCATCGCTATCGCTATCCTGTCACTTTCTGTAACATTTATTATAAAACACACACACCGATTGTTTATCGATTTTTGTGTGCATCACTACACTATTATATGTGGTATCATTATTTCACAAAATGACAGTAGCTATTGTCAAATCTGGAATCTAATTAAAATTCTGACTATAATGAATTTTCGAATAACGAACTACAAATTGTACATAATCCTTATTAAATCCACCATATTTTCACTGATGTCTCTGCAGAATGTTATTTACAATTTCATTAATTAAACATACTAAAAATCCCCTTCTAACATTCCAGCAAGCAGACGCAGAGAACGAGCAGCGCCGACGGTTGGAGCAGGCCGCGCAACAAGCTGACCACGTCGACCCCAACAAGGCCAAGCTCGTACAGAAGAAACAACAGGTATGCTATACTCGACCTTATACACATATCTGTACAGGCTATATTACCGTGACCAGATACAGCGGGAGTTAAGCTTTGTTTAGAATAACTATACATGTAGAATTGGTTTGTGGTAATCCTCGTTTTGCGATAACCAGATGGCGCCACTGGAGAGTTAGGTCACAAAATTAAAGTCTTCCTATTTAAAAAATATTTATTGAAATGATTTTATTGGAATGTCTTGCTCTTAAATATTCTTAGAAAGGAGTAATAAGGCCCAAAATGGATCCCAATAGAACCTTTCTATTCACACTTAAAACAAAATTACAAGAAAGAATTTTGCAAATTTGAGATAATTTTCAATTACAATCAACTTTCATCGATAATTATCGTTTTACTATCAATATTCTAAACCCAGCTTAGCTCTACAATATATCGATGTTGCATAAACAGTTAGATTCGCTTCGATGGCTCTACATAACGCTTCCAAGGTGAATGGACAGTAATTTGATGTAGAGTTTTGAGTGCACACTTTGATTACACAAATTACTATTTTTAGGGTATTTTTTACAGTAAACAAAGTTACATAATATGCAGGTAAGAAAACAAAGATTAATTCAGTACAGAGACGGTAGTTCTTGGAATACTAAGCTGTACGCTGTTTTTACCGAAAACAAATTTTAAAACCATTGGTCAATTCAGCAACTACGCGATCGTCATTGTCGCTGTACCAAATCAATCTCTTATTTTTTTATCTGCATACGAAATTACTTGGTTGACTGTGCTCGTAATTGACAGAAAAAAATGTGGAAATCACTGTTTAACCGCTTGAATGCACTGATATGAGACACAATAGAAAATATATTGTGTCTCGCGTGAATCCATGTTTAGACACACGACGGGGTAAACATATAAAATTGAGATCATAATCTTTTGTTTGAAGAACATATATTTCATAAATCATACAAATAAAATTGAAGATGAATGGGTGTTAAAGATTCCAAATTCCTTTTTGAACACATTACATTCAGTAATCATATCATGCATTATTTTGTTCATATTTTGCATTTGGTTTATATACATACATTTGGTTGATACTTTTGGTACGTGGACAAATCAAAGTGTGCGACTTGTTGATGCATTCTGTCTACTGTAGCCAGTGACTCGACTTTCTAAATAATGTACTCATATTTTCCACTAATTTTGTTTTTTTTTACAACGTTTTTAATCACCTTTATTTTTGCTTTAATTGTCATTAAAATTAATTGCTTTCATGTAATCAAATAGTTTATTTTTGATAATTTTTAAAGGTGATTAAGAAGTTAGGTTTGATTTTGATTTCACTTGCAGTCTGTACATAAAGATGTGTGAGTGATATGCATTAATATTGTTATTTGAGGTGACAGGTAGACAACATCACATGAAACACATGATGTAACATGCTATTTAGTGGTGGCGGTGTATTACAACGAACGGTGGATATGGCAACACTGAATTAAACATAAAAACTACAGATAATCAAAATCTACCAAATTTTAACAAGGTGTTGCCATATCAACCAGTAAAAAGACTACCAAATACTAGTAGTAGGTGATGGTAACACCATAAACTTTCTCACAGAGGTTTAACTACGCGGCCGTCAGCGCAGGCCTATTGCAGCAACACTTGTCACAGTTGAGGCACAGTCTAGAGCCCGTGTAGGCCTGCCCGGCCTCAGGCCAAGGCCTAACTTATAGGAGTAAGTCAGTTGACTCTGACGGGGAACCACTTGAGTGTGCGTGTGTACTAACCACTTTTGGGTGGGATCGGATGGTGTGTAATGGGTGTGGCTGGTTTATACATGGTGCTCCATAACATTTTGGCAATTACTCTATCAATTAAACGTTCAAGTTTTAGTTGAACTTGTTAAATCTAAAGTTCTAATGTGTGTTCATACAAATATGTCAACACCTTTTTGTGCATAAAACAAAATTGCACGAATCATTTTCAGGAATTTTTTCTCATATAGGTAATTACTTACAATTTCTAGTCAAGATTACTGCGCTTTGCGCATATGAAGATTCTATATATCATTCGTAGTATGTGCGTATTTTAATAACAAAATCCATATAATAGAAATATATTTTTTTTTTGTTTCAATTGTTTTAGAGCAAAAGAGTTCATTTTTCTATTCTGCGCCTTTAGCCAAACGCCACTTTAGCGCTTGTCTACAGAGAGTAGAAATCTAAATGTGGGGATAACATTGACAAGTGTCAATTTTACGTCAATTCCATATAATTTGGTTTTCTATTGTACATGTAGACAAGCGCTAAGCGGCATTTGGCTACAGCTGCTGGTATATCCGCCCAAATTTCTATCCTCCATTGTGACCCCAAACCGACTATACCTATTACACACCAATACTCAGGCCTCGGAGTGACTAATAGACCTTGAGAAAGATGCAGCATGTTTTTGGGGACTCGAAGTCTGGACTGGTTGATAACCCACTCGCCTAGCATGCACACGACCATAGTAACTCGCACCAAGGTTGAAGGGGGGGGGGGAAGTGTTCCGTTTGAGCTATAGGGGGTTTAGTTATTATATGGTGGTTTCTTTAGAGGACCTACTCTTGGTAATTAGTTTTTGGATCAAAATGAAAAGTATGTTATGTAAAATGTGTTGGTTTGCAAGAGATAATGTGGCGAGTTGTAAAAAAATAAAGGTCTATAAATAATACAATTTTTTGATCTCTATATTCAATGCAAATATTGCAAGTAAACGCTCTAAACATAAAATACACTGACACAAATGCACATACCGACAGGTTGGAGTGTCTGTTTCGTAGAAGTCTAACATTTTTTACTGATTACCTTAATACATTCCTTGTAATATATATCTTATCACGGCTATGTAAAGTTTACTTTCGTTTAACTTATAACTTCTGAAGATTAACTTATTTTGATCCGAAAACGACTCAACAAACAAGAGTAGGTATATAGAAATTGTGGTTTTATGTAAGGTGTTGGTTCTTAAAACGTGGTTTGTTGGAGGGTAGCAACGTATTAACATATTGCACAAACACACAGTAACTTTACATTTACAGGTATATTGGTCATCGCTGCATGAATCCATTTCCAACACACACCCATTAAATATGTCGAAGTTAGGTACAGTTAGAGCCAAAACTTTGTGATCGCTCCTGACCAAATCGTTGTGCAATGACGTGGCTTTATGCTAGCATGCAAGGTAGGATACTGAGGATAAAAAACCCTAATAATGGGAATGATGACAGGGTATGAAAATTAAAAATATAATTAGTCCGTAAGTTAGGTAATGAAAAAATATTAGACACGTATTTTTTTATTTTGTCGTATAATAAAACAATACTTAGATAAAACGAATCAAAGTTTAGGAGTGGGGGCTAAAACGTCATTCCTTAGTATAAAATGTACTGAGAAGTGACGTCACGCAACATTTCAAATCAATATATCTTCGAAACTATTCGTTTCTGTGAGAAAATAAAAAATACGTGTTTAATGTTTTTAAATAATCTATCAGACGGACATTAAAATAAAAATTAGTCGTCTACCCCATTGTTTAGAGAAGAGTTTGAAAAAGTTGTTTTTAATATTCTCATTTGAATAAACATTGTATAGGATTTGGAGCGTTCATTAATTTTGGCTCTAACTATATCCATAGGTAATGCGTTTGATATGAAGCATGGTATGAAATATAATCGAAATAGAGTCGTATTGCTCTAGATTCTAGGTTGTCTTTCCATTGAATGAAACCGGTATTCCTTATTCCACGTGTTATATCCCTTAAAGCGAGGGCTTTAGGACCTCTCACTCGGTTTTAGAGTGATAATAATAGATTAGTAAGATTCGTAATTTTTTTTTAAGTTTTCCATCCTTGAGTTATCATGACAATGTTTGTTTATATATTACCAAAATGACAGACAAAAGGTATTTACAAAAATGTTTAAATTACCCACATCTAATTATTCGTATTTGAGTAAAACGATACCTGTCGTCTGGCAACATTTTGTTATGTAAAAATATTATTAATTCATGTGGTAACACACGTAAGTTATTTATTTATTTATGAGATGTATGATATGAAATGTAAATATATATTTTGTCTTAACGCTGCACTTGCAACTTGCATGGATCTAACAGGGAATGTGTTTACTTACTAAGCTAATTTATATTAATTTGTACTTATGTAGAGTTGTTACTCTTATATTAGCCAGATACGGCATTATTATTATTATAATTTCAGTGCTACACAATTTTTTAAATGATTATTTGCTCCTTGTCAGTTAATTCTGCGTTATTTCTATTATTGGAAATTTTTTCTTCATTTTTGTTATTGTGAAATTAATATTATTAATATTTAAGGTAGCTAAAATTCCAATCTTAATCCCAGTGTTATATCGCCTTTTTTCCTTTAGCTATTGTGCGTAGAATAGGTTTTTACTTCAACTTAATAGTTAGCTCTTAGCATGCGTACTTATAGCAGTTACAAAACCTACCTTTACGAATTGAGCAATTAGTTATACAATATTAATTTAAATTCACGTCAACAGGAGGCTGTAATCAACGAATTAAAAACGAAATCTCAGGCCGTCGGCGAAAAGAAACTGCTTCACCAAGACGAGGTGTACAACGGGGCGTTGGAGGACATCTTGCATGGCTTAAGGAGCGAGCCGTACCGCCGCGCTGACGCTGTCCGACGCTCACACCGCCGTCGCATCAACTCCCACCGACTGTCCAAGGGACTCGAGGAACTGGATGTATGATACGAACTCGACTCCAGTGACGCACTGGAATCCCCCGTACAAAACGCAGTCAACACGATCAACGCTAGGTGCAACACAGACAAAAAGAAACGCCGCAAGGACCTAGAAATGGTACACAAAAAACAGTCTATAGCTATCTATAATATAGAGGACAATGTGACTGAGTTCCCCCCCAGTGAGCCCAGGAAGAAGTCCACGTACCGCGTGGCCCCCGCGTCCATAGACTGCGAGGTCGAGGAACGCTGCGAGCTCATCAAGTCTACTTACGAAGTCATTTCGAAGTACACGAGGGCCATGTTTGATAAACAAAACGAAACCGTCGTATGAACGATGTGCCTATTTTATATTTCGCGTGTATTGCACTCATATACTTAGTCTTAAATATATATTCAACGTTATTGGCTTGTAGTTAAATTGGCCTAAAAGGTACGGAGTTATAAACGTCCAATTACAGACAATTCGATTTTCGAAACCGTTAAGTGTTGCCATTTTAAAATAATTACCCTGAAAGCCGGGTGCAATATATGTAAGAGTATACTAACTTTGATACGCCTACGATTCATTCCATTCCACACGCGACAGCGACATCCAGTATTTTGCTACGATACCATTTACACGGAAGTTTTTAATTTTCTATACGAAAGCTTAGCTTTTAGTATTTTTATATGTGCCCATAGCTAATTCAGAAACTCAATAAAATACTTTTTAATAGAACTGAGTCACGAATCTCAAGCACAAAATTAAAAAGAATTGGACCAACTTTGAATATAGAATTCCATAGTGAAATCTCGTAAAGCTATGGGCAGTTAGTCCCGCTAGATCAAAAATGGCCTTTGAAATTAGACGCACAGGTTTTGTACCGCGATTTTTTCGAATTTTAACATAGAAAATAGGTATAAATGTAACAGTGTCCTTATATATGTACACATATACACAAATATGAACCAATAAACGATTTTTAGTATATAATTGATAAATATAGTATGTAACATACGCATTTATGATAATAGCATTTTTACCTACTTGTGATAGTTCAAATTTCTTTTATTAACGATATAATACTTATTGGCTCCCTTGTTTTCCTTTTGAAATAATACAGTGATTATTTCCATGCATAGTTTAAGTGTGACAGTGTTCTTATTTCCTCTATTGTGGACTTTATTTCCTTGAGGTAAAGTTTAAATTGTTGATATTGTTTCAGTATGTGTTACTTGTATGAAGTTATAAAACAAAAACAAGGGTGTCTGCATGTATCTGATATTAGTCCTTACATGACACTGTAGATGTATTATTATTTATATGATTCTATTCCAACTAGATTAAGTTTTGTATACAAATATTTTTCCCGAATAAAATTTATAATTTTTTGATCTGGCAATAATCTGATTTGAAATTCGAATAAGTTAATTTAATTATTGTAAATATGTGTTCGTTTTTCTCCCTGTGAAAGTTCCAATTTCAGAACTATACACATTAAAATAGAAAAATGTAAATATTGTATTTTTTATATTATTATCTATTCACTCAAGTTACTTGAGCATTTAAGCGGGCAATATAATTTTTAGAGTACCTATGTATTTAATAATAAGCCTGAAATCGGTACTTTTACATTATAATTATCGAATAAATAAGTTTTAATTAATTTAATTGATCCAGTGGATGATATGATTTAATATATTATATGTATGATGCTTCAGCACTACTGGGCGCGTAATGATTATAATTTTAATACAATAAAATAATTAAATGTTTAAATTTTATTGCATAAAATAATAAAGTTCCCTTGTATTTCGATTCAAAATGGTGAAACGATGTTCGCACAAAACATAATTTATAATTTGATTTTTAGTAATTGGAAAGATTTAAATCAGTTTTTATTATTTGCTATATAATTAATATCAATGTCTACGCTCTCAGGTTTCGTTATAAAATAGAGGTGCTTTATCGCACAATAGCTTATAATTACGTTTGCTAAGTCATGACATGACACATGATAATGAAAATTCGTTCGGGAGTTGTATAAATATACAGGGTTACGTTATAAAAAATATTTGCACAAATTTTAATTGATTTTAGTCTATTTTGTGGTTATTTCTTAATTTGCTATAAAGAGAAGTGAAATTAAATTAATATTAAATCGGATTACGTCGTTCTAGCGTCATAGTTCTTCAGCAATAATAATTATAAATATAATTTTGTCAAATTGCATAAAAATTGTTTTTATCTTATATTTTCCGGACTAACAAGTAATGTGAGTTAAGAAATGACCATAAAATTGAATAAAATAATTTTATATCGAGTCTTATTATTGCGTTGTGTATTATTATTGTCGATACAGTTTCTCAAGTTATACGTTTTCGATATTATTATTATTATTTTCCGAATACAGATGATAGTGCTTTCTTTACCATAAACAATCGTACCCACCATTTTACCCCACCATAGAGGTAAAATTACCTAGATTCCTTCAGTAGTGCCAAGAAATAAAATAAATATTTTTTAAATATGTTAATAAATCATTTATAGAGTTACGAATCTAATATTAATTTATTATAGTTGAGCGTTTTGTTTATAATTATTATTTTATTTCTTGGCAATACTTTAGCAGTCTGACTGTATTTTATTATTGTATTATTCTATATGCAACATAACTATAATAAGCTGTATTTTTAAATAGTATTTCAAGACAAAATAAGTATAATACTAATATTATGTGCCTATTCAATTTTCAATTCATCTAGTAATAACTTGCTTTAAATATTACTTGTATCAACTAATTTTAAACTTATAGACGTATGGGCCATGTAACCATTTTTATGTAAGTCTCTATATACCCCAACTTGTTCCTTTAAAGTATTTCTTTTTAAATATACACTTTAAAAACTTTCATTTGTATTCGGGAACTATTTAAGTTTAGTAGAAATTTATAGAAACGTTTTGTGTATAGTTATGTATTCGATTTCTGAGTTTTTGTTAGTATCGCATGTACGCTAGCATAGTAACAGTATTCGGGATGCAATAAATAAAACATACATTTAATTAACAGTGATTTTATTTAACTTTGTAAATATTTTATGTGTCATGTAGCACCTTATTATCTAACGTTATGTATTGAGACAAAGTTTCGTGACCATTTTTGCGCTTCGTAGGTGGCGCTACTAGCGTATTCGATCCTGTCAAGTCTAATTAGTAAGACAATGTACAGTTCAGTGAATAGATGAAACTAAGCTAGTGCCACTAGCAGAAAACTTGCTATATAAAGATAGTGAGAATTATAGATATCAAATCATAGAATTATGTAGGCAAAATGTTACTCCTAAATATTTCATTTCCAGTAAATTATGCAGCAAAGAAATAATTATAATGTTACTTTGCTTTTTTGTTATAAAAAATTACATAATATTCGAAATATTACATTAATTTAATTCCCATAGTCTACATAGTACCTAAACCTACCAAAATAAGAAAGTAAATAATAATTATATTTTATATAAAAATTTAAAAAAAAACTATAACAACAATTCTTTGGTCCTAATTACTTAAATATTTAGAAAGTCTAATTTTGCGTGAGTTTTTGGTGATAGAAATATTATGAAGTAGGTAATCTTATTCCCTATACATCAAATTTTGGAAAAAGTGCAATTCCTTAGCCTAATTTGTAGATTTCATAACCATACATAAAAGTGAGATCTGAGTATATCCTTGAATCATTTATATAAGTACCAAATAAGTTTAATTATAAAAGAAAATACAATTATACAAAATGGAATATTACTTTAACAAGCTCTAAGTAAAAAAATAATTTGATCATAAGTACTGTAAATATTACTTTTGAAATGCAAATAAGAAATTAATGTCTCAAAAACAGAAAAGGCTTATTGATCCTTGAACCTCTATGGACCCTTATAATTTCATTTAATCCTAAATTACAATCAAAAAGATCAAGTACTTGTAAATTACCACCAATTGAGTATTAATCAAATTTTACATTGAATTTCTCATCGGCAACACTTTTGATTTTCTCTACAATCGTTTCCACTTCAGCCATGGCACCGATACCTGTATCGCCACACATCAAAGTCTTACTGATCGGTGGAATCTCCATATGACCCCATTCCTTCAGCAATCTTATTTGCTGGGCAGTGACGGGATGCTCCCACATCCTTGTGTTCATTGCAGGACAGAAGATCAAAGGTTTGGACATGTCCCACGCTCTGGTTGTGCAGGTTAGTAAGTTATCACAGAGACCCTGAAATTCCAATGATAATGTGATAAATAACATTTTATTCAGGACATGCTCTCAAATAGATTTTTAGGCCATTTCACATATCAATCTCAAAAACTGGATGTGTTCAGTACAAAACCTTATGATGGATGAGAGACTAATAGCCAATAGTTAAATATACAATCCTATGACTACTGGATGCCAAAACATATATTTTGTTAACAAAGTTTTGTCTTGAACAAGTTTAAAATCAATAGCTCACTTACTTGCGCCATCTTAGCCAGAGTATTAGCATCTAGTGGTGCTATCACCATAATGTCAGCCAGCTTGCCAAGCTCTATGTGCAAAACAGGGTCACCTCTTTGCTTCCAAGCTTGCCACTCCAAACTGTCATCATAAACTTTCACGTGTGCAGGCAAATCCGACATTTTGAAGAAATGCTTCGCATGTTCCGTAACTACTAAGTGCACCTAAGAAAAAAACAGTCATTTAAAACAGATTTATATTTATTAATTTACGCAAGACATCTATACTTTGTAAACATAACCTCAAAATCATAAGTCATTTGGTCCACAGGTATTTCTAATAACGCTTTTATTAGAGTCGGTATTTTTAAGGCAGCAACGCTACCTGTAGCTGCCAACAATAATTTACAAGATCGTCTTGTATCCATTTTATTTAGATTTTAAATACAGAAGAAATACATAAATATTTACTAAAGTGTCATTACGAGATATGAATGACATTTGTATAGTTCGTTCAGAATTCAGAAAAATAAAGAAACGCTTTATTTCACTTATTTTTTTAAACATAAAGAACTAATTTTGAAAACACGATCTGATAAAATAACTGCTTGCTTTTACAAAATTATAATCCCACAAAATGCTTGTTCAATGTATTTTTTTATATGGAGGGTAATTTAGAATTTTTATACTGGCAGCACTGATCTGAAACGTCATCTATTATCAACAAAATAACCACAATAAAATTACGTCAGTCGATTTTAATACGCGGAAGGAGTGGGTGTACAAATTAGCGCGTGAAAACTGTTTTTATATTTACGCTAATGAAAATAATGTTAGTGTGTTACAACAGTTATTAAAAATTTAGGAGTGTTCAGTGTTTGTTTGTGATTTGGTTAAGTGTAAATATAAATATGTGAGTGATGTGTTGATTAAAAATTTGTTTACGATGGATGGCAAAGTGAAGTATTACGAAGGTTGTGGACAGGAAGGGCCGATTCGTTGTATATTTTTGTGTGAATTCCATCCGACCGCTGGGCCGAAGATAACATGCCAAGTGCCAGAAAATTATATATCAAAAGATATTTTTGATACAGTCAGTCATTATATCATACCAAAAGTACAACTACAGAGATGCACATTGACAGTGTAAGTATTGTAGGGTAGTTGCTAAATGTTTATGAATTATGACAGAAACGTCAATATTTTGTAAACAATATCGGTGAAACTTGTTGAAAGCTTTCCATTTTACTTTAGTGTTCGTGTCGGAATTAAAGAAAAGCGGTGTTTTAGATTTCTTGTTTATTTTCATTATTTCTTGCACATTTTGTCTTAAGTCACTTTTGAAGATTTAGACTTCCACTAGTGGTATTGAAAGAGCATAGAAAATTGTTTTTCTGCTCGATTTTCTATACTTGTCAACTAGTAGTAGTCCGTACATATGTTGTATTTGAATTTATAAAATATACTAAATACATAACCTGACTGGTTGTTACGTATCTTCAATTTCAAAAAAACTAATTCGTCTTTATCACATATAGTAGATACCTAGAAATATTTTTCTTAGAAAATAAAAGCATACATAAATAATTCCTTAGATTGACTCAAAGCATTTTATCTACTATAATTTACAGACTCGTGTTCAGTTATCTATTAGCACAAAGAATTTTTAAAATCGATAACTTAGGAGTGTTAATTTCTATAGAGGTTGGTAGACAGTTATAGTAATGGTATAAACCTACCGTATCATGAGTCCTATGGAATAGAAGTTGAGTCTATTACCATATACCGGACATAATTCGAGACTCTGAATTAGTGAAAAAAATCGAAAAACCGAAGGAATTCCGATTACTATTTGGCCCGATCCGAGAATCGAACTCTGCTTGACAGTTGCTCTATCAAACACTAGACCTACGAGGTAGTCAGTTATAGAAGTTGATAATTAAATTAGATAATTGAAAAATGGTAATTAATTCATGCACCGTGGTTACCGTACCGTTCAAGTTCGCCGGCTTCCGTGCACCTGCATAGAAAGATTATCAAGCCATCAGATAAGATCGTTGTCTCATTCCTTGAAGTTTAAGCATCTAATGAACAAAAGTAAAATTAACACCTCGAGAGGTTAATGAACACATCAATTTAAACATTTAGTTTTGAAAAATTCAAGATCTGAAAAGACGATGGTAATGTAAATAATCTCGTGAGCATCTCTTTGCAGTGTACAGCTGTTATTTTTAGATGATTGATGGTCATAATATTGTTTACTTCCGCATGTTAAACTATCTTCAACGTTTACAAAGCGTAAAAAATTTTAAAACAAATATTATTTCTTAAGTTTTTATACGTGGTTAGGTATTGATGATTATTATCATCATCGTATAAGCCAGATATACTGCTGATCAACGACCATTTAGATTATATATGGTTATAATATTACGATTACATTCTAATCCCAGTTATATTTATCGCAGCACCCTTCTCGGGTCGAAGATCCTGGGCTTTCCAGTGAGGATAGACAACAAAAAGTACGCTCGCAATGCTTACTACTTCAACCTCTGCTTCGTTTGCGATGCCTGGGCCAGGACTGTGCATCTCGAACCTCTCGTCAAGAAGCTCACAGAATATCTGGTTAGTATAACATTTATTAATTTATAAAGATACAGTCCGTTACTAATTCAATCACACTATTGAATTATAACTACTACATTTAGATATACTGATTCGATGGCAAACATTAGAATTATTACGATGGAACATAAACATAGTGATATTATTCCGTTCCATCTCTACTTAAAGGTACATAAAATTAAATCAACACCGTTTACATCTCCCTGTGATAAAATCCTATTACCTATCAGATATACACTCACGTTACACATCTAAGTAAAAGGTTCAGCGCATTAATATTAATGGCATTGGACAATTTGGACAACTCTAAGTAAACAACTCTATAGGGCGACACAATGCCAGAATACACGTAACGGATTTTCCATGAAAACTAATCCTCATCTACCGTGTTAAAAACAACACGAATCAATATTTACATTATTCATCTATTTTCTATACTCTAACACAATCCGATTTACAATTTAATCGAGGAAAGTAGAAATGGGAACAGAATATGAATAAATTGAAAGGTTAAACAAGCTAAAGATCAGTTTCAAGATTTAGAAATACAGAAGTTTTGCTTTGATATCCAAAAATGGACGTATTTAAATGGATTCCTGCTTTCTATTTCCAAGATTTTGTTCCGTAAAGTCAAAATATGGAGTTAATCAACATCGTTAACGGATACTTCTGAAGTTCCAATATTAATTTAGAAGTTAGGTGAAGTAGATAGCCGTATGACTGAACTGAACTTTACGATTCGCGTTTTGTTTCTAGTTGTCAATGGAACTGGAGACTGAATGGCTGTCGAAGCAATCCATTTCTGGCGAAGCTAAAGCACTTAGCGGCCTGATGCGGCAGGTGATGCAGGATATTAATAGTCGAAGAATGTGTACACTTACTGGTGAGTACTTAAATTCTGAAGACAAATTTTTAGTTATATACATAGTATCACCGATAAAAAATTATTTTGGGACTCGTCACGCTTGCAGCAAGGGAAAAATTGCAAATTGTATATTCTAAACAAGTGCAGTAACTTTCTGTGTCTAAGGCACTTAGGAAATAGATGAAAGAAAAGTCGACGAAGCCATTTACCCACTTCCTAAATCGTTGAATCTTTGAAGCGTAGACTATAAGAGTTTGATGTTTAATGGTTTTACTGCGCTAATATAAAATTTATACGGTATATGAACGTCATTCACCCAAATAACTTGTTTTCCATCGATTTTAACAAGTAGCCCAAACTTTGATTCTGATGCTAATTTATGAAGTTAATGTTGACAGATGCTATGCGAGAACTTGGTAAAAAAGTTTGTACACGCAAAATCAATTAGCATTCCTAAAAAATCCAACTAAAAAACCAGCCCCTTAAAAATTGTTATATCTAACTCTAAAACATTATTTCTTTGTTTTACTGTATCAACCTCATAAAACGACGTAGCTGTAGAACAAAGTAGGTATACATTTAGTAACCAGTTTTTGTATAATAACAGTTATAGTTATCGCTATGAATATTATTTACTTGCAAAGGTTTCCTTAGATACACAACACAAGTTGTATTTTATTACAACTACCTACTGCCATTTAAATACTCGTCGAAAACTAACAAAATTATTGTTAGTAAAAAAAATTAATTTTTATTACAAATATTATGCAAATTATATTATTACAAAAGTGTCAGATTTCTGTAATACAAGTTTAAATATAAAATATACCCAATGTTGCCATTTTAAAAAATTACCCCACTTTAGTGCATTTATTTATAATAAGGATAAAATTCATTCGCTGTCTTTTTTATATTTGATGGGCCAACTGTTTGTTGATCACTATACCGTCTGTTTTTTTTGAGGTTTATGTTTTATCAATATTGCTTCTCGATTTATATTTAGACGACAATACCTACTTATTAATAATCTTTGTCATTAGTTTTCTAATTATCATTCAATATGTCATTTACCAAAATACTGCTTAGAAATTAATGTCTAAACAATTGAATACATTACATATTCAAACAAGAAATGATCACGGTCTGTGGCTCTCAACGCTGTTGCCATGCAAATAGCCAATTTCTATTTTAAATCGCTTCATGTTATTCTAAACTCGCCTGTTTATCTATAATAATAGAAGTCATACGACAGCTCTACGTAAATTGGACGATAAACAATAGTGTCATAAATGTCAGCTGCTACATACCTATTCTAATCAAGCGTGTAAAGCAAAAATACAAATTGTGAATTACAATTGGAAAAATTTGACAGAAGAGCCAAAATATTCCCGCCAATACTTTGTTACGTCAAATTGTAAAAATAACTTTAAAGTTTATTTTCGGTTTATTGTTTTTATTTACACTTTGAGATAAAACAAAATAATGTGTCGCTTTATTGCAACCTTTTTTTTAATAAGATATCAATTATAATGTAAGGGCTAAGTACTTATTCAAAGACTAGCTAATGGTACCCAATATTATACAGAATGATCTGTCAGGCATTCAGCCTTAATCTTAAACTCAATCACATCAATTAACCTTTCCTAGACTGGTCTGTCTTTATGTAGATAACGCACTATTAATAGAATACATGATCAATGAAGCATTGTACATATTCTGTGGTGAAAAGGAATATTGCTCAACAAACAAATAGTTGGGAAGACGACCAAGAACCAAAGATTAAAACGATTTTCAACCGACTTCAAATAAGGAAGTTTTTAATATTTTTGGTGCATAGATAATAAAAAAATATTGAACACATTTTGTTTCTGGGACTTTATTTCGCTGTTTCTAAATTCGAGCCTAGATTTTTCTTTGGAAGTCTGTCAGTTTGCTTTCATACTCTGACATGATTCCTATTAGGTAAGGTTTAGTTTCGCTAAAATCCTTCGCTCTTGGGAGCTAGAGTAGGCACCTACGCAGATTATATTATCCTTGAGCCCTTGTCAGTTGTCACTTGTCAGTCAAGGAGCATTAATATTGTAGACGAAATTCAAATTTCTACGTACCCGTACACGGGAATGAGGGTCTTTTGTTTGTTTATAGTAGGGAACTTTAGTCTTCAATTAGTAATTCAATCGGTTTACAATAGTCAGAATATTTAGTAGATACGATTTGCAAATTCAGCAGCATTGTCTGTCGCTATCGTTAACTGTAAGATTTTAATAGACCAGCTTAACAGTCGGCAACGCATTTGTAAGTTGTAACGACTCACTGGCACAATCACCTGATATAAATCCCCAAAATTCGTTCATACAAAAGTAGACACTAATTATCGGCAATAAGGTCTATAATGGAGTTAGTGGAGAGCGGTCACCGGTGGCCGCTTGGGGATCTGGGAGCCTACCACGTCCTTTTCTTACCTACCTACCACTGCTTAGGGTGGCACTGATCGCTTACCATCATCCTATCAGGGATGTTCGGTTGCCACCTTTAGTTATGAAAAAACTTGTCCCGTTAGTGTAGTGGTCGTACAGTTCTACATTAAACGAAAGTACTTAGTGTAATACTTTTCAGGACACCTCTGTCAAAAGATACATTTTTGCGACCGTGTCTAATGTTCATATTTAACACAGCTCTGGCTTATTCTTTTTTTTACAATGATGCATCGCTTGCTTATGTACTCAAAAGTGCTAATATTTCATAGTTAGTGCCGACACAAATGTCGAAACACGCCTCAAGATTTGTGTTTTCTATTAGCTATGATTAGATCAACATATGAACAGATCAACATAGACCTTATAACAGAAGAATAAAGTAGAAAATGTATTAAATTGTATTAGTGCAGGTTGATGTGCGCCTCACTAAGGAAGTATTGAATTTATTGAAGCTTGAATACACTTAGCAACTTTTGCAAGCCCTTATTTAACTTGATTAGTACATTAGAATTTAGATGATACAGGCATTTATAAATAAGATCCTGGACCCAGGTCCAATTAATGGCGCCTAGGTCTTAGTCCAGACTAAGACCTAGGCGCCATTAAAGACCGTCAGTCCGTCGTCTTACTTACCTCGCATCACCACGCATCGTACTACTAACTGGAATTAAAAGATTTTCCTAAAGGTTTATTTATATTTGCAATAGGTTTGCAAAATTACATCATAATAGATAGAAATCATAATACTTAAAGGACTCTTATCATACAATACTGACTAAGTAACGATGGTACCTATATCTCCTTTAGGGCACGTATTTGTATAATTATGGTAAGATTAGTAAGTTAGACGGACAACTATGTCATGCCTTTCGTAGTCTGATTAATATTTCTGTGTTCGCAGTCCTCAGCATAACTTTAGGCTTCCTATGCATAGGAAGGTTTCCCATCTTCTCCAGGCTTGGCAGGCGAGTTGGAGATCATAGTTTAAAAGGTTCTGGTTCCAGAGAGTGCTTTTTTTTGTTTATGGGATAAGCCGGTAAACGAGCAGATGGATCACCTAATGGTAAGCAATCTGCCATGGACCTGGAATACCCCACCACTGTTATAAGTGCGTTACCGGTCTTTTGGGAATTAGGAACTAGGATTATTGGGAATTGAGTCATTGGGTGGGGAGAGGTAATTGGGCCGCCGGTAACCTCACTCACACAAAGAAACACAACACAAGCGGTGGTTTACGTCGGTTTTATGTGAGACTGTGGTATCACTCCGGTCGAGCTGGGCCATTCGTGCCGAAGCATGACTCTCTCACACTTTGTGTAAGTCCTCTCTAGTGTCCCGAATCCCCGAATCCCTGAATCCTCCACAATCCTCAAATTCCCAATTCCCAAAAGGCCGGTAACACACTTGTAACGCTTTGGTGCTTCGGGTGTCCATAGGCGGCGCCGATTGCTTACCATCAGGTGATCCGTCTGCTCGTTTACCGGCTTATGCTATAAAAAAATCTTAAACGTGCTACTGCAGTTCCTATCAAATGCGACTTAAGGCACCACTCAGAAAAGTAGAGGGGTCACGCGGCTGTGGTTTACAAACTGTTATGTAATAACTTCTTGTTGAGAAGAAAATATGCACAAGTTTTTAAGGACTGCCTAAGTTATTCAATATTATAGCCGTTTATTGGCCATTAATTGTAAACTTTTCCGTAATCGTGACCACGTGTGTCGTGTTTACAATATTTTTATCGTTTATCCTCATTATTTTTTATTAAAGTCCGTTGTATTTATTTTAGACACCTATAGTAACAATTGATGATGCAATGAGTTAAGAAATTATATCATTTTTAAAAGTTCAATGTGAATAATATTTAGTTGTATCAAAAATAAAATATTTTGCTATTTTTTGCTATCGAAATCGGTTCATCACTTTATAACAATGCGTAATAAGTAGTGCTAATCCCAAATTATAACAATGAAAGAAACTGCAATGGACACAGCTTCTTTGCTGCATTTATTAATATCACAACAAATTGCCTATTACAAAAATACTACGTAATTAGGTACAAAATTTTCCTATACCTGAACAGACTTATATATTAGAAACCGCTGAATTAAACATCTGTAACTTACTTTGCCTTCTGTTTGGTGATATCAGTTTTATTTAATATGAGTTATCCAACATTTACATGCAAATTAACCACGTTTTACTTTTAGAAGCAATCATTTAATATTAATAGACAAGATCTTTATCTATCTCGTCTGACTAGATTGTATCTATCTAAAAGTAGCCACTTTTATATAATATTTGATATCTTATCAAAATTGCAATAACACAGTCGATAACGAATAAGTACAAAAAATACAGTAATATTCATTTTTTACTATTACGTAACATTTTGTTAAAACTTTTCATTGTTTTGCAAACATTTTAGATTTTACTAAAGCGTTTGACGGCATTGCCAATCAAATCTAATACTGAAGTTATTCATTAAAGGTGTTACTGTACTCTCTAAATCTCCTTAATTGTAATGGAGAAGTTAATAATTAA